GCGGCGGCGGTCGGGGACTGCGATTGCTGGTCGTCCATCGTCGGCCTCGTAGGCTGCCTGGTCCTGGGTGGCAGAAGTCCGTATTCCGGGTGTAGACCTTGGGTGCGGCGACTGGTCCGAGTTTCAGGTTCCGCGTTGAGTGGTCTTGCCACAGGGCTTGGAATCGGGCTTGCACTGCGGGCCCTGGGAGGGGAACGCTCTACGGGCATGCGCTACCCCGCACCTCCACCAAAATATCACGGGTGGTGACTAATAAACAAGAAATAAACAGGAATAAATAAACGTTTAATGTGGCGAACTTGTGCCAAAAATAAAAGGCTACAAAAGATAATAACAGAGCGTCGCGGGCGTCGAAGGCGGCGAAGCAGCACGATCAAACGCTGAGGCGAGACTGACTCGACAAGGTCGCGGGCGGCCTCTTATCTAGAGTGCGCCGCTATCTCGAAGATTCGGCGAAAGCGGTTCGAGCGTCGCGTGATCGGGGCGAGAATGAACACGCACTTTCTAGAAAACAAAAGCAGGGATAAATGATAGAAGTTACGTGCGGTACATGAATAAACGGGAACTTTCTGGAAGACCGTGACCGAGCGTTGCTTTCTCAGCCTTGCGCGCGGCAATATTTCCGAGGTGGTGCCTGTCCCTAGCCCATACATATGCAGAAAGATCGGCGCTAAAATTTCGTTTCCGTGCCCCTTTAAGACGTCGTTACATTTTGACGAGCGCTGACAAATGGTCCTCTTCTTAGGAGGAGCGCCGACTGGGCCGTCTTTACGGTCACGATCGATCCCTCCGAGCGTTAGGTATCGATGGGCTTCCACGCTGTTGGGTGGCTCAAGACTGTGACCCACAATGCTTCCAAACCTGCTGTTCCATGCTTCACGCCAGTGTATCGAAATGTACCCCCCTGTTACTTTATATATACAAAGACTCAGAATGTTGACTGCAATTATTGCGTTTGGAGGAAATTTCCGAAAAACCGCGCTGCGCTCATGATCGAATTTTCGCACCGACGTGCGAAAATTCGATCATGAGCGCAGCGCGGTTGCGGAACACAGTGACTCGAATGACCACCGCATTGACTTCGACAAAACACGCATCCTCGACATTGAGACCAATTCCCGGCAAAGGCTCTTCGTCGAGTCATGGCACATCCAAACCACACCGCAAAACATCAATCGGTCGCTTGGCGCTTTACCGTCCGCTTACGTCAGCGGGCTCAGCCACATTACGATCGCGAAAACATCACGTCCACCGCCGTAAAAGAAGACCACTTGCTCCTCGCGCACACAGTCGCCCCTGAAGATGAAACCAAGCAGGTTTCGAAACGTTGGGCTCCTTTTTATTTTTGGTTGGCGTTCCTTCCTCCTCTTCTAAAATGTAATTCTAAATAAAAATTGGGCAATATCGCGATTCATTTGTATCGCGATATTGCCCAACCCTGACAAGCGCACCTTAATAAAGGGTGATATCGAGAAAACTTCCAGATCTATTATGTGTTCTGCTCCTAGACAGCAAATTCTGAGACTGGATAGAATAAGGGGCCGTGTACCATATGTGATGTGACAGATAGCATCAGCGACACCGCGCTGATCACGCACTGGTGGTGTTTCCTCCACAACGCGGAGAGAATCATGAATTACGCACATCACCTCCAGCCTACTTTGACGAAGCAGGCATTGAACACACGTACTCTCCACTCATACCACTTTAGCGCCGTTCCACGACCAGTACTACCGCCTTTGCATGGCGTCAGAAACGCTGACTCGGTGTGCGAATAAAAAAAAAACACATAAAAACTACTCTTCTATAAAGCCGAACCACCGACTGTGGTTCAAAGTTCAAACCCAGCAGCATGTTATAATGAAATAATTTAAGAAACGTATAAGCTTGAGCACAACCTCACACAAGGAAACTGTCAATCCAGGCTTGCAGAACACACACACACACACACACACACACACACACACACACACACACACACACACACACACACACACACACACACACACACACACACACACACACACACACACACACACACACACACACACACACACACACACACACACACACACACACACACACACACACACACACACACACACACACACACACACACACACACACACACACACACACACACACACACACACACACACACACACACACACACACACACACACACACACACACACACACACACACACACACACACACACACACACACACACACACACACACACACACACACACACACACACACACACACACACACACACACACACACACACACACACACACACACACACACACACACACACACACACACACACACACACACACACACACACACACACACACACACACACACACACACACACACACACACACACACACACACACACACACACACACACACACACACACACACACACACACACACACACACACACACACACACACACACACACACACACACACACACACACACACACACACACACACACACACACACACACACACACACACACACACACACACACACACACACACACACACACACACACACACACACACACACACACACACACACACACACACACACACACACACACACACACACACACACACACACACACACACACACACACACACACACACACACACACACACACACACACACACACACACACACACACACACACACACACACACACACACACACACACACACACACACACACACACACACACACACACACACACACACACACACACACACACACACACACACACACACACACACACACACACACACACACACACACACACACACACACACACACACACACACACACACACACACACACACACACACACACACACACACACACACACACACACACACACACACACACACACACACACACACACACACACACACACACACACACACACACACACACACACACACACACACACACACACACACACACACACACACACACACACACACACACACACACACACACACACACACACACACACACACACACACACACACACACACACACACACACACACACACACACACACACACACACACACACACACACACACACACACACACACACACACACACACACACACACACACACACACACACACACACACACACACACACACACACACACACACACACACACACACACACACATACACACGCGCGCGCGCGCACGCGCACGCACACGCACACGCACACACACATAGACACACACACACACGCATGCACGCATGCAAGCATGCACGCACGCGCACGCACAGACTCAGACACACACACACACACACACAAAATGTGTCGTTGTTTCTTAAAAAAAATTTGCGGTGAGAGATGCATTCTCATCCTGTGGGAAATGCCCTGAGTGGGTACAGAAACCTTCGAGTGAACGAAAGTCTGAAAGTTACCGATGTTACTAGGAAAAGTTCGCAATTTGCCTATTCTGATCAAACGCGGACTCCCGGGAGCGGTTGGATGAACTGAATGGCGATCCATTATACTGTCAACTTTGACGTTTTCACGTGATCGAGTTTCTCTGACGTTCGTCAGCGATTCGTCGGTGGCGTTTATTCGAAGTTGAGAGGCGTATTCTTAGAATGGGCCTACGGACCTGATGAGACCTGGCATGCTGTCCTACAGGTCAGCAGTTTATCACGGTCATGAAAGGTGGAGTCGTTCCCAAGTTAGAGATGTTCTTCTAGGACATAAAGTCGAATGTGTCCCTTCTTGTCAAAGATGGCTGTCCTTGTTCAAGATGGCCGTTCTTGTCTAAGATGGCCGTTCTCGACCAAGATGGCCGTTCTTGCTCAAGCTGGCCATTTCTTCTCCAAGATGGCCCCTCTACAGTCCAACATTGTCGTTCATGTTCATGATGCCACTTCTTGTCCAAGACGGCTGTTTTTGTTGAAGAGGGTCATTCTTGTCCAAGATGGCCATTTTTCTTTAAAATAACAGTTCTTCTCCAAGATCATCGTTCATGTCCAAAATAGCAGTTCATGTTGAACATGGTGTATATGTCGGAATCAAAGTTCATACGAAAATACGAAGCGTAATGCTTAGAGAGAATGATTCCTTGGATGGCGTGGCGTGCGTCCTGCCACATAAGGCGTTGCCACATGGTACGCCAACCCTACACGTGGGGAGGCAAGTGTGAATCTGAATATCTCTTTCTGTCCATTCCACTTTCTCAACACAAATGTTCGGGCAGAGTCGCGCAGGCACGTTCTGTGCCTGTCCTTGTTTCTGTGCGCCGGCAGTCCGTGTGTCTTCTGCTGGTCCACGCGAATCTCGCTTCTCGTGTGCAAACACGTGCACGTGCGCAGCGGGGTTCTCAAAAGACTCGTCACACAAACTCCCTCTCTCCTTCTTTCAAAAAAAAAACGAAGAAAAAAAAGGAAAAAGGAGAACCTACTGCAGGGAACGAAGCAGGACTTTCATCCAAGCAGAAAGGAAAAAAAAAAAAAAAAGAAACTAGAAAGGAAATATCCCTTTCTCCGGTGAGCACTGCAAACGACAAGCAGGGCTGTTTTCACACGGAGCCTCTCCCCTCTCTTCGGCGCGGCCCGTGCCAGTTCTTCGGGATGCGGCGGGAGCAGCCGCGGCGGCGGTGGCGGCAGCGAGCGCGGAAGATTCACGACGACGACGTCGGTAGCCCCCGAATATAATGACTTCTCCTGGTGGCCTGATTTCGGGGCAGGACCCTCGACAGCGGCCGCCATTGGCCGCCCGACGAAAAAAAGAAGAGCGAACTCGCCCGCGTCGCCCCACAGAAAGGGAGAGCCGCCCGAGAGACCGCTTCTGGACCCTTTCTCCGGATTCGGTGCATCGAGCGCGCTCCCCATCTGCCGATTGCCTCGGAGTCGGGCTCGCCGATACTACTCCACGTCCATTGAACCTGGTCCGCTGGTGGAGACGGTAATCCCCGCGCTTGGCCGGCTTCGAGGATGAAGCGGGCGGTGGTGCTCTTCAGCATCCTCATCGGCGTCTTCAGCATCTGCTTCGTCAAGGCGGCGGCGACCGTCGCTGAAGAAGAGACGACGGATGTGCCGCTCGATGTGTCGTCGGAGCCAACGGTCGAGAAGCTGACGTGGAAGGGATTCATGCGCAACATGACGTCGACCTTCGGGACCGTGCTTCAGAAGATCTTCCCGCTCATGGTTCGGGCCAGTTCGGAGGTGGAGATCGGAGCGGACTGCATGGCCAGCTATCTGAAGGTTTTTCTGGGCCTTAGGAAGCTCAAGGGCTGGGCTGTGAGACGTGAGTACCATGGACAACTCGACTCGAATCTCTTGTTGTTTTTGGGTGTATCTGGTCACCGATAATTCAATCTGCCATTCGCTTCATTGTTTCTCTATTCTTCGAGATAACTTTAGACGTACGCGGCTACCGGTCATCCACCAGGACTCGTCTGCCAGCAGTGATGAATGTCTATCTTACTAATGAAGTAGCCGTTTACACTTTAGAACGTGCAAGGTCGCTATTTACTCTTTTGTTTTCTTTTTTGTCACGTATGAAAAGGGGAAGCAGGCATATTCGGTGATGTCGATTTCCTGCTTCTACTGCGTTCGTTGCTCACACGATTATAAATTTATCGACGCGATGCATCGCGGCGGACACATGAGGCAGCTGTAAATGACGCAGTCAGTTATCGCGTCGCCTTAGACAAGGATAAAAATAAAATGAAGGGTGCATAACGAGTTTGAGGGTGTAAAAAATGGCGTGGACGACTTCACGATCTCGACAATGTCTTCAGTCATGACTATGCTCAGGAAGAAAGAAATATATTTAAGTCACTGACAGCTTAAGAAATGAAGGGCGTGGCGAAGCATCTTATTAGTGCTTTGCAACCGATTCGATTGGGGTATTAGACAAGAGGCGTGAACACAAGTGTTCACGCCCTCCATTGTTGTCTATGACTATTAGCGACACGACCAAAAGCGTCGCTGTGGTCGCAATTCGAGATTGGTCAAACGCTCACTGCCACGTTTTTATCTGCCATATTTTTTTCTTTCATCGACGAAAATCAGTGTAAGTCAGAGTGTCAACTGTGACGATGTTGGTTTAAGAACGCGATGACTCTAAGCTTTCATTGTTGTTTTTACACATGCGTCGAGCTTGTAGTTGAAAAATTGGGTTGTGTTTATGTTTATACAGCCTAGAACTTGGTCTGCCTCGACGGGCGACGAGTCTCCCAGCTGTAGATGAACAATTTAGCCAGTGCAGTACAACCGCTAGCCTGGGTCTTTAACGTGCACCACACAGTAGTGATACACGACCGCACGCCGGTGCGATGCTCATCCAGATCGAAACGGGCAGGGGTGGGGATTGAACCCAGGATCCCCGAGTTCTGCAGCGCGAGCTTTCGCTCCACGTGCTCCGAGCTGGTGTGCGCTAGCCCACTCGGCCCCAAGAGCTTGTAGTTTGTTACTGATAATAAATACTATACTCGTTTTCACCCCCCCCCCCCCCCCCCCAAATAGGCAGTTTTGCGCATTGTTCATACGCCGCGTGAAGTTGTTCTTGCAAGATTTGGTTGTCGGAGGGAGAAGCGATGCTTTTGGCATTTGAAATGTGTACGTCTTGATAAGATAACACATGTGTAATGTAAAATGCACCTACATATATAGTTATTACCCACATCAATGGGTAGGTAAATTAGTAATTATCCGCAAGAAGCCGGACTTTTTTTTTACTACGGTTTTTGAGGTGAAAAGGAGTATATTCACGGTGAGGGAAATTCCGGTCGTGACGTCACGAACGGATACCGTAAGAGGGCTCCACCGAAACATCTCGGCGTGAGTAGATACAGCGGTGCTGTATTTCTTGCGCTGCACTTTTGCTTCTGCTCCGGACCGTAGCGGGTTTACTGTGGCCCCACTTTCGTACCTACACTGTTCTAATCCGGTATGTAACATAACCAATACGTTTAAAGTTTTACGCATGTTGAAGTTTTCCTTTTATTTACACTGTTGAGTATAGAGTACATCAGCACTATGCTCCCAAGATTTATTAGGCCCCAGAACGCTCAAGCACAACACCCAGAAAGTGTCTAAGAAGAAAGAAGAAAAGAAACAATAGTGCTTATTACTTATTTGAGAGTTTGAAATGTTACAAAAAGGGGGGGGGGGGGGGTGGTAACGGAAAGAAAATTACTCAACAGATGTCGCAACCCCTTTCACGTTCCCAAGAGAGACTCCCGTGAGAAATTAGAAGCATAATAAGAAGTTTGAAATAATATTATAAGGCACTTTAATTTCTTTTACTAACTGAGTATAGCTAGTTAGCTAGTTACAGCTTGAGTATAGCTAGTTACAATTAGAATTGCCTTCATACAATACGCTATTAATTCACTGCACTATTTTCACTACTACACAAGAAGCTATACGCCTCTTTAGTAGTGTATGTACGGCGTAATGAAAAGGATAATAAAGCAGCACAAAAGCAAAGTAAAAACAAAAACAAACGACAAGAAAAATATATTTAACATATCAGCGTGAAAAGGAAAAAAAAAAAAAAAAAAAATCATCGATGCACTCCCGAACATTCCGTCCGTATCCAGAAATATTGCTATTAAAGTTTTCAGGGCTGGACTCGAATTTGTTGAAACGAGTCATGGGCTAATTATTATGTAAAATAGAGGAAAAAAAAACAAAAAAACTACGAGCGAGCAAATACGGTTGAACCATGAAACGCGCAAGTAGGTATATCACTATTCAGTAACACTGTAGAATTACAACTAAGAATTCACAACAGTACAAAACTAATCAAGTGGCGCGACAAGCTTCTATTAAACAAGGAGTGTAAGATAATCAGCTTTTATATTGTATTATAGCCGCAAAACACCTATTGAGTCAGTGTTGCCTGATCGGAAAGTGGTAACGATGCCAGTCTCTCCCGTAAAATGTTTCAGGTTTACAACACACTAAAATAAAAATAAAAACACACCTGTCGGAGATTAAGCATTCGTATTCAGAATAAATGTATTAAGAAGAACGTAAGTGTGCCAAGTGAGCTTCAGGTACATATGCAGTGTTCAACGTGCTCAATAAGACGAAGATATAGTAAAGGCTCATTATGAATCCCCGTGCTTCGTACGTGGTATAAAAAACAAATCCTTGAATTCTCGATGTAAGTAGACGTAAGCTCGTGCAACATAACACAACGTGAGCAGACGCTACTGCGCCTACTGGACCTGAAACAGAACGGTCCAGCCGGCCGCGAAGGTCACCGTCTTTGTTGTAATGTCATATCAAGATAAAGAAAAAAACAAAAAAACAAGTGTGCATACAGTTCATCATCATCATAACAATTATCACCATCATAGTCATCATCATTATCATCATATGCATGAATATCGAAGTTCTTAATTTATTTTGTGTGCTCATGAACAGCCAAATTGTCTCCATGATATAGCAAAGAAAGAATAATTGCACATTTCGAGACGTTAATGAGCACTCAGTGATGTAATACAACATCGTAATAACAACGATGTCGTCATGGCTGCTATAGTAGATCCACTGTGCAAAAGAGTCTTTACAAGCTTTGGTTGTCCAAAAAAAAATATTTCTTTGAGTTTGGAAGGTGCACGTTTTGACAGAATAACAAAGGACTGATGTAAAGTGCAGACATAAATTTCGCCGCCAACGCGCTGCTCGGATAGGCGTCCGCCGGTCATCGTGCTACCATTATGTGTACTCCCTGGCTGGTTGCACTTCTGTGAGCTATAGTTTTTAAACTCCTCTTGCATCTGTACGTAGCTTGTACTGCTCTGCTTCAACCTAGCGATCGTTCGCGCCACAAAGCGCTGCATGGCTACCTAAACGCGGCATCGGCAGCGTTTTCTGTTGCTTGGGGTCCCGAGGCATTTCCCCCAGATTTTATTAGAATTTGTCCGGTTTGGTTCTCCCCTAGCCAGGAAACCAAAGACTCGCAAATTACAGCAAGTTTGAAGTCTCCGCCTGAGAATTTTACCCCCTGGTAACACTGACTGATATGCTAGGCGGCGCAAGGTGCCGCCCGTTACGAAGGATATAGCGTCCATTACTATCCATCCATCCATCCGACAGTTATGAAATACCTGCCTAAAATTTCTTTGGAGGCGCCCAACATTCGATGTGTTAGTTACATCGATGCAGTTCTAAACTACTGAAAAAAAAAACAAAAAAACACGCAATCCGATTTTGCACAGAAAAGCGAAACAAACAAAACAAAGTGGATTTTTAAATCTGCTGGATAAAACGGCCGGGAAAAGCGCGTCCTCTACCCGCGCTCTAGCCCGGCCATTGCTGGATATACGCGTTATGGAACCAAAATTACCATAAGGCGAATCGACAATGGTTGTGTGTGATTCGATGATTTAAATAAATTTTGGTACTTAATTAAAGCACCATGTCGCGAGTCAGAAACACGACTAGTGACAGTTGCGTCGAACATGTTGCAGAATTGCTGTATATTGCATTTAAGAATAAATAATTGAAGTCACGCATATCATTCAGAACGTAATACAATTACTTAATATTGAGAGCTTTACTGACTATGATATAAAAACATGATTTTTTTTTTTTTTAACAAGGGTAGTTATAGGTATTTTTACAAAATAATTACCTTAGAACGAATAAAATATCAGAAACTACTGGTCTGAATTTTCGTGGTTTACTGAGTTACAATAAAAAAAAAATTAAAAACAAGTAGACTTAGAAATTAAAGAAAAAGAAAATGTTCCATAGTTATATTTGCAACGTCAAAAATGGATAGGACGATTGCATTTAAAACTTTCAGCTTTCAACGTGAAAAATATCACAGAAATGAATATTCTGTCACCGCTTACCTATGGTTTTTAAGGAAGTCATAAAAATGTTGTCTAAAGATAGCCTCAGTTTTCGTGCATGACTTAAAAAAAATTGTTTTTTCATTTTCGTTTTTTTTTTTTTGTGTGTAGCAGGTATAGTCATCTTAAGAGGATCTAAAGCAGGCCACGTAAATAAAACTCTTCTCGCCAGGAAGGAGGAAAACCAGCTGTGACTAACGCTAACCTCTTGAAAAAAGTAAAAAAAAAAAAAAAATCGGCTAAGACTTCTTGCAGTTTAAGACACGTATGTTGGAACAGCGAGAGAAACCATTTACAACTTACCGGAGCGAAAATGCTAATGCATGAATGAAACTCGAGAATGGCAGGTCGTCTTTGTCCCACAGGAAAGTGCGCTCCAACTCTGACCGCGCCAGTCGAAGGAAGATCCCACGATAAGGTGTAGATTGTG